ACACACACACACACACCCCATCCCTTGCTTCTTTTCATGATTACAGTCCAATCCGTTGTTTGTTTGCCCCGAGCAGGCGAGAGCAAAACCTTTCCCCTTCGCAGAGATGCTTCTCCAGCTCAGGCTCAAGGCTGTTCTCTTCTTCATCGTCGTCGGTCATGCTCACAATCGTCGTCTGTTGGTCGCTGCTTGGGTACGGTCACCGTGTCGGCTGGCGCAGTGTGGGGCGGCACTGGCTACCAGCTCATGAGGGAGGTACGTCCCAGGGTCATGAAGTACACCTGGCTGGCACCTCCTTGGCGCACAGAGGCGAAGAAGACCTGACAGGACAGAGGGAAAATATACATGAGCTGAATATTTGGTGGCTTCTGGGATCAAAGAGGTGAAGATAAAGGTCATCAGGGTCTGTGGTGTCTCCTAGGTCAAGGAAGTGTTTTGACATTTTCATAGTATTCCAAGAGAATAATTCGTGGATCTTGATGAAAGAAACCAGGCACATTTAGGGAACTGATAGTGGAACTGTTTATATTAAGTTGGACAGAAGAGATAAACGGATGGAAGTAAAGACCTAAGAATGGCAGAGAGAAAGAGAATAAAGGAGAGAAAGAAAGCTTCCTCACCTTGTCGTTCCGTTCACAGAGGAACTTGAGTCTCTGAGCTCTTTTGTGCATGAAGACTCCGTCCAGGTGTCCCGTCTCCACAGAGCGGATCTCTATGGCCTTCTCGCCCCAGCCCATGATCTGGTTTGACCTAATGTAGGCTGAGCAAACACAGAGGAGCAGTTTTTTAGAGGCGTCACAGTTTCCCTAGCTCGCAATGATGCTGCACAGAATTGTGTTGCAGAACTTAAATCCCTGTAAAAGTCAAACTGAGCCCACTGACCCACTGAAGTTGGCATTTCTCCCCACTGCAGCACCACGTCCTTGGTGATGCGCCCGTACGTGTTGACGTAGACGCCCTCGTCCTCGTAACACACCAGCAGCTCGATCCCGTCAGTGTTGGGCAAGATGATGATGGCGTGGCACTGAATGC